AAGAAGACATGCAAATGGCCAACAAATGAAAAAATGTTCAACATTCCTAATAATCAGAGAAATGCAAATTAAAACTCAGTGAGATATCATCTTACACCAGGAGGAATGGCTATCATTAAAAAGTCAAAGGGTGATTTCTCATGTCCATGAAAGCTCTGGCATTTCTCTTTCTTTCCTCTCTTCTTTCTCTAATAAACTTTGTTTTAAAACTTAAAAAAGGTTGGGTGCAATGGCTCACACCTATAATTCCAGCACCTTGGGAAGCTGAGGTGAGAAGATTGCCTGAGCCCACGGATTCAAGACCAGCCTGGGCAACTTGGCAAGACTTCATTTTTACAATAAATCAAACAATTAGCTGGGCGCAGTGGCACGTGCCTGTAGTTCCAGCTACTTGGAAGGCTGAGGTGGAAGGATGGCCTGAGTCCAGTAGATAGAGGCTGCTGTGGCCGTGAGCATTCCACTGCACTCTAGCCTGGGCAACAGAGTGAGACTCCAACTAAAAAAAAAAAAAGGCAAAGAACAACAAATATTGTCATGGATGCGGAGAAAAGGAAATACTCACATGCTGTTGGTGGGATTGTAAACTAGTTCAACCCCTATGGAAAACAATATGGAGACTTCTTGAAGAACTAAAAATAGAACCCAGTAGTTCCACTATTGGGTATCTACCCAAAGGTTAATAAATTACTAAATAAAAAAGATACCTGCACTTGTATGTTCACTGCAGCACTATTCACAAAAGTAAAGTCACAGAACCTACTTAAATGCCCATCAATGACTGACGTAATAAAGAAAATGTGGTGTATATATACACCATGGAATACTCCACAGCCATTAAAAAAAGAACAGAATCATGTCTTTTGTAGCAACATGGATGGAACTGGAGAAGATTATCTTAAGTGAACTGACTCAAAGAGAAAACCCAACACCGCATGTTCTCTCTTATATATGGGAGCTAAATGGGCATAAAAATGAAAATAATAGACACTGGAGACACTAAAAGGAAAGAGGTTGGAAGGGGGTGAGGGTTTGGAAGATACCTGTTATTGGGACTGTGTTCACTATTTGGGGTATGAAGATACCCGAAGCCCAACCCCCAAGAGTATGCAAATATCCCAAGTAACAGTCATGCACTTGTACCCATGAATCTAAAATTTAAAAAAAAAACATTTAAAAAAGATAAATTCAGTGTTCTAAGTTAACCTCCTTGTAAAATTCATGTCCAAATCCAGACTCACAATATTTCCCTCAAAACCATCTTTTTCTGCATTTTCCCCTATATCTATAAAAAGCAACTTTGTTTTTCCAGCAGCACAGGGCAAACAAAAAAAACTCAAAAAACAAAACTCAGTGTCATCCCAATTCCTGATTTTTTTTTTTTTTTGTCTCACAGCCCACATATCTGAGATCAGCAAATCCCATTGGCTTTTCTTTCCAAATATATTCAGAATAGGAGCATTTTGACATCCCTTCTCCACCACTCAGGTTCAAGCCTCCATCGTTTCTGTCTTGGTTGATCGCAAGAGCATCTGAGCTGCTCTTTCTGCCTTTTTCCTGCTTCTATCACTCCTCAGCCACTCCTCAAAACCTCCAAGGACTTTTCTTCCCACTCAGGGTACCATCAAAAGCCTTGTGACAACCTGCAGGCTCTATACCATATGCTATCTTCTACTTTTCTGACCTCATTTGCTGCTACTCCCTTCTTTAAGTTTCTCTTGTCAAATTGTCCTCTTCTCTGTCTTGAACAAGCCATTAAGCTGTTCCTTCTGAGGCTCTGATCTTTCTCTTCCTTCTGAAGAGTTAGTAACACTCTTCCCATACACAGTCACAAGGCTTCAGATCTGTCTTAGCCTAAGCATGCAGCTGTTACAGGATACCACAGCCCCTGTGATTTATAAAGAATAGAAATGTATTTCTCACAGTTCCGAGGCTGGGAAGTTCAAGATCCAGGTGCTGGCAAGGTCACTGTCTGGTGAGGTCCGGCTGTCTCTGCTTCCAATATGATGCCTTGTTGCTGCTTTTGGAGTGACAGAAAAGAGGAAGAGCAAAAAGGGCCTTGCTAACTCCTTCTAGCCATTTAGTAAGGCCACTAATCTCATTCATCAGGGCTCTGCCCTCATGGCCGGATCACCTCCTGAAGGGCCCATCTCTTAAGACTCTCACACTGGGATTGAAGTTCTAAAATATGAATTTCGGAGGGTGCACACATTCAAACCACAGCAAGGTCCTTGCTCAAGAGTCACTCAATGAGACCTTCCCAAGACTCCTTAACTAAAATGTCAACCCAGCATCCCCACCCCAATGCTTGTTACCCTCCCCCAAATACTTTCTCTCTTTAGACTTAGTCTGTGTCACTATCTCATGTAATGTATTTTACTCATTTATCTGTTGACTTCCGTCTCCCCTACTGGATCTTAAGTTCCATGCAGACAGGACTTTTTCTCTGTCTATTTTGTTCACTGCAGTTTCACCTACAACTGTCACATAGTAGGCACTCAAAACATTTTTGTTAAAGGTTGATGAATTTAACTCAGACAAAATTGAGATGATAAACTTTCTACATAAAAGGATAGCAAACATGTTTTCCATTTATAAACTTGTTAGGTATTTAGTCAGTTCTAATTAACAGTTCTGAAATCAATTTTTTTTTTTTTTGAGTTGGCGTCTCACTCTGTCGCCCAGACTGGAGTGCAGTGGCCACTCCCGGCCACTGCAGCCTCGACCCGCTGGGCTCCGGCGATCCTTCCGCCTCAGCCTTCCGAGTAGCAGAATTACAGGCATGCGCTACCACGCCCAGCTGATTTTTTGATTTATTGTAGAGATGAGATCTCGCTGCCCAGGCGGGTCTCGAACCTGTGGGCTCAGACAATCCACTCACCTCAGCCTCCCAAAGGCGCGGGATTACAGGCTGAGCCACCGAGCCCGGCTTGAAATCAATTTTAATTATCTGACAACATGATGCCCAAACTGAGGTATTTATATTTTCTGTTTATCCCACTTTCTGGAACATTTGATAGCAGCTTTCCACCACAAAAACATTTTTAGATTAAAATTACTTTGCCCCCTATAGTTATCTGTGGGCACTTGTAACAAATTTTTTGCTAGTGCTAAGTGAGCTGGTGCTGATTGGCCATTGAGAACTCCAACAAACTTTAAATTTCAGCAAAATGCCCGGAGACAGTAAATTCTGCAGAGGAAGCCAGGTATTCTGAGGGGTCAAAGATACCAGGTAATTTGACTGTTTTCATGTTCTTGACTAGCAAATAGTTTTATATTGTAGTTGTTTACATTTTTAAGATGTTTGCCACCCAGATAGGACATTGCTTTTGGAAATGAATGCAAATTGAAAATATTCTCTACAGAGCAAAGCTGTGTAATATTTAGTGCTTTGTTTTATAAAATAAGAAGCATGTTCCCAAGCTCTAGAAATCATCAATGAAAACGGATGGTTTGGTAGCAACTTTCTCTTGGATTGACTCTCAGCATTATCAAGATCAATACTTACTCAAAGACTCATTTTCCTCTATCCCTTCGCTTACAAACGAGGATCAGAATAATCTAAACATATTTTTATGCCAGCTCTCATCTGTGCTGACATTTCTACTTATTAGCATTGAGTCGTTTCATAAATGACTTGTATTGTCCTGATCTATATGGTACTTGGAAAACTAAATAATGACTAGACTTAAGATCATCAAAATTGTATTAATTTAGAAGAAAATAGCCTAGGGTTTCAGAATCTTTTTAATAGTTCATATTTCTTTATTCAAATAAAAGTTTTTACCTTGAAATGTTTAAAGATGGAAAGAATATTTAGATTATCTTTCTCATTGAAAGTCTCTTTTTCTTCAAGTACTCAAATAGTAGCATAAATTTATTACTTTTATATTGGTTGTTGTATGTCTATATGACAGTTAGTAAATATTAAATGTTCATCAAAATCAACAGATTGGAAACTATGTTGACATTTCTAAAAAATCTAATGGCTACTTGACGTAAGTGAGCTTGTTGGGATCTTGTTAGGATATTTATCAAAGCATAAACATGTTTCTTTATTCATAACTAAATGTTATTGTTTTAAACATCATTTTTTTGAGCCCAATATGAAATATGATTAGTTTGTAAGTCAAACCACATGTAGATCTTTCTGTAATAAGATAAAAGATAGTTCTATAAAGTGGCATAGAGTCTTGATGAAGAATGCTGACTCCATAGCTGCATTGTCTGAGTACAGATCCCAGCTCTGTCTCTTCATATCTGTGAATTCTGGGGGAAGTTTTTTGGTCTTTCTGTATTTGTTTCCTAATCTATGAAACAGGCAAAGTGATGTCACCTAACTCGTAGGGCTGTTGTGAGTCTCCAAAGATTGAATACGTGTAAAATTCTTAGAACAGTGCTGGGCTCATTTGAGCATTCAATACATGTCAGCTATTAATCTAAGAGATGCAGAAATTGCTTCACCTCCTCCAGCCCATGAATAGCTACTAAGTCAGACACATAGCTATTGAATATGAGAACCTAGATTAGGGCACCAGCCTGGAGACAGGTAAGATTTCATTTCCCACAATGGAATCTGCTGCCCTGTTATTAGCTGCTACATTAGAACTTAATGTCATTTTGAATTATACAAAGAATTAAGTTAAACAATCTCTTTATAAAGACAAACAATAGAAGTTAGAGTTGATGATAGAGCAAATAAATGTGTCTATAAAACCCTTTTCTACCAACTGACTTTATTATTTTAATAATGTTGAATAATTTTCATATTCACATTGGAATAGCTAGACATACGAAAGCTCTTAGATTAAAATGGCCACATGGGTATAAATGAATGATACACAGTATAGGCATATGCACACACACATATATAACAAAAGGAAGTGGACTGCTGGGGGAAGGTACTTATACATACCTCTGAGTTTTATTTCTTCCTAGTGCTGGAGTTAACAACTGGCAATGCTTTAGGGTAAAATATTGTCTTTTCACAGAGATTCTCAAAGATGCAAGTTGCTTGCGTGGGACTGCTGCTCTTCAGTGTGACCTGGGCGGCACCAGTAAGCATTTACAAACTCATTTATGTTCATATCATCTCTTGCTCTCTTTACCTATTTTTCCTTTAAGCAACCTCTATTTAATATTTAATGCTATTTAATTTAATTCAGTAGCATTTACCTAATGCAGTTATAATAGGATACCAAGCAAAAAGAAAGCATGGCACTTAACACGAATGCCTGTCAACAAAGAGTCCCTCAATAAACATGTGCTGAACTATGAGATATCACCATGTTGCATTTTAGAAACACCAAAAACAATATTTTTGAGAAAACCAAGAACTAACCACAGTGTTTCAAATCAGCTGACACTAACGAGCGATACCCAAAGACTCAAATTATAACATGCCAAAAGAACCTTTCACTGTTTTCCTAAAAACTTAAAGCATCAGACAGGAATGTTCTAAAGTGAACTAGCTACATTTTGTAAATAGATGGCTGTGCAAACAGACAAGAACTTTCCTGTATTTCCTGCAACACCCCAACCCTGGGATTCTGCTAATGATTTTCTCTTCATCAGCGAGGCCAGAGATGGGATGCGGTACCCTCAAGCTTAGCCCAAATCAGGCTCCGATTTCCTCTTGTGCTTTTTCCTTCCTTCTGACTCACTCAGATGAGTATTCATGATGTGACCAAATTATCTTGTGAAAATGCTGACTGTTACAGTTATTTTTTGCAATGCAGACACAGTGCTAATTAGATAATGTCTGAACAGCCTCCTAACTTCTCAAAGTAACCTCTTCAGTTGGAAAACTGTGGAAACAAGTAGTCATCGGTTGCCAGTTGTACTTAAATATAGGTCCTGAACGAGTGGGTGACCAGTTGGGTAACCAAGCTGACAAGGGTGATCCAGGCCCTCCGTCAGGACAGTGGAAGTTGGGAAGTATGCCCTGCTTTCAGCATCCACCCTCTTGCAGTCCTGTGGGTTCTGCACTGCTTACCACAGACATCTGTCAGTCTGATGCCCACGACCTTGCCCCATCAGGGACCAGGGGTACACACTCAGGCACTGGGTCTCGCTGACCCAACTCAAGCCAACCAGCCCGGATGTTATTTTGAGCAACACATTCCAAGGAACAGCTGGAGCGGTGCTTTCTGACCATTTTCCAGTAAACGTGCTACGTCAACATCCATCCAGTGACCACCGATCAAGAGAGGGTGCCAGTTCTCCTCCCTAGAGGCACACAATGCCGTCTCCATGCAGAGTCACATTTGAGCACAGGGCGACCGTCAGTGGGTGTGGGGGGAGACAGGAGGGGCGCATATTTCAAAAGAAAAAGATGCAGGAAGCACATGAAGACAACATTTGGAATTGTGAGTGGTTAAGAGTGATGTCATCCGTCTTAGCAATTACCTAAATTATTTAGTAGTAGATTGGAGTTTTAAGAAGTTAGGGTATGCTGACTCACCCACATATGTCTTGGAATTATAAGCCAAATTTCAAACAAGTAACAAATGGGAGAAAATAACAGATGATTATTTTGCCATGCATCTCAATTAACATTCATCAATCTGCAATTAGACTAGAAAGACATTGTTGTAAGTCACAATAAGTCATGAACTATACCAAGACACTCTATACTGTCAAGTATATTTTTAGTACGTGTGTGTTTTCTGTAAGAAGATATCTAATACCCCATTCTGTCATTTTTTCTTTTTTCTTAATATTTGTTGGTCTCCTTTTTATATTATCTTCTTTCTATAGCCCCATTTCCAAAACTATTTTCACTATTTTGATAGTTTTGAAGAATAATGCAGTGGTCTGAGTTTATGTTTACAAAATCGTATAAGAACCAAGATAAGAAATACTACAATAATATAATATGCCTTGAAGATATTTAATAAAAATTTCAGGAACATTTCCTCTTATGACTAAATGTTTTTTTCATGTTTAATCATTTACAATTGTATTATTTTAACCCTGGGACTTTGAGACAGAGGACTTAGATTTAGATATCTTCTCTATTTATACTATGATGACCAGGTATGTAGACAATTTTGTTTCTTGTACTGCCTATCTCATGGGGGTTATTTTGAGACTCAAATGAGATGATGTACAAGCAGTATACAAACTGTATAGTGTCACATAAATATAAGATGTTATTGATAAACTATTGTTTGTTTTTAGAACAGAATAGAACATTAGACAGATATGTCTTGGAGTCCAGCCAAGAGGGTACTTTCTAAACTTTGGAGTTTACATTTCTAAGATGATTTTATCAGTCAGAGTCCAGTCAGTAAAGCAAAATCCATTACAGGCATTTAGTAGAGGGACTTTATTTGGGGAACTAGTTGTAAGTATGGGAAGAATATAAAGGCCAGGTCAAGTGTGGTGAGGCAATCCAAGGATTGATGCTGCTATCAATCCTTGGACTGAAAGGAAAAAAAAAAAATTGGTGGTGTTCCCAGTCCCTGGGTGGGAGCCCCCAGCAGGAACAAGGGCCACAAAGCATACATGTCTAATTCTAGAGATTCAGTCCCAAACAGAGAGAACAGGGAAGGACACATTCTGGTGTTTCCCTCCTACCTTCCAGTCTCACACCAGGCCTACATCAGTCAAACCCAGACTGAATCCAGAAGGCAAACGAGCTTGGAAGATGAAATTTGTAGGAATTATCTGAGAATGAGTTGGAGAAATATAGGGTCTGAGAGAAAGCACTAGAATGATCACTGTCTTACTGCAAGGAACAATCTCTCTGTATAAAGCAAATTATAGAACTTTAGGGCTTCTTCAGAAGAGCACGCTCTAGCTGAACAGGACAGCTGGCCTGGGTGGTCCCAAGACTGCTTACCTCCTTATTTAATCCTTCCCTTAAGGGTTTTTCTCTCTTATATCATCAATCTATCATGGTGCCTGCCTTCCCCTTGGCACACGCATTCAAATATGACCCATCCCACCCCTTGGTTCCCCTTGCCACCTCTGAGAGAGGCTAGCAGTTTCAAAAAGAAATGGGGAAATTAAAATACTGAGAATTAGTCAGGCATGGTGGTTCACGCCTGTAAACCCAGCACTTTGGGAGGCCAAGGCGAGAGGATTGCCTGAGCCCAGGGGTTCGAGACCAGCCTGGGCAAAATGACAAGACCTTGTATCTACAATAAATCAAAAAATGAGCTGAGTGTGATGGCACACACCTGTAGTCCTAGCTCCTGGGATGGCTGAGGAAGAAGGATCGCCTGAGCCCAGCAGGCTGAGGCAGTAGTAGCCGCGGGCATGTCACTGCACTCCAGCCTGGGCAATAGAGTAAGACTCCTACTCAAATTAAATAAAAGTAAAAAACTGATAAAGAATTTTTACATCTATTCCTTTCACAGAAAACTTGCTCCAGGATCCTAGGGTCCTGTTCTGTGTGCTTTCCTATGATGTATAAAGTGTAGCTCGAGTACTTATAGTACTACACTAAAGTGGGACAAGCTGTCTAGGTCAATCATTTCCTTAGTTTCTGCCCTTTATTCCACTTCAGTAGCCACCCCTCACTCTGGTACTGTCAATACATTTTAACTTTTTTTTTTGTCAAATGAAGAGAAAGAATTTGTCCTAATTTGCTGCCACCTCCCTCTTCCCTTCTCTGGTCAGGTGACCGGCGGTCATAAGATTTTATCGTTAGGTGTGAGTCTAACCCTTACATCAATGACTGTGACTTGGCTCTTGCTGGGCCACCAGCAGCATCACATCTTTTTATGTTATTGATTGTTTTAGTATAGAGATGTGGATTACAAGTGAGGATTAGCTACATAAGTAGGCTGCATGTAGGTGAAGTTTGGGCTTCCAATTGACCCTCACTCTCTCTGTTAATGGACCAAGTAACCACTGTATTCATCATATCTTAATTCAACATGACAATTACTAAGGGCCAGCCATGGAGGCTCATATTTATAATCCCAGAGCTTTAGGAAGTTGAGGTGGGAGAACTGCTTGAGGCCAGGAGTTTGAGTAACATTTGAGCCTGAGTAACATAGCCAGAACCCGTTTCCAAAAATAATTTTTTAAGCCAGCCATGGTGGCATGTGCCTATAGTCTCAGCTACCCAGAAGGCTGAGGCAGGAGGATCCATTGAATCCAGGAGTTCGAGGCTGCAGCGAGCTATGATGGTGCTATTGTACTCCAGTCAGGGTGACAGAGGGAGACCTCATCTCTAAAACGCACACACGCACGAGCATGCGCACACACACACACACACACACACACACACACACACACACACAATTACTGAGTTATACTGGGAGTGCTAAAAAATGTATACACATTTTAAGAGATGTTATCTATGTATGACTTGTAGTTTGCTGTCAAATAATCAGAAGTGTCTGGACGCTGATGGTCACCACTCAAGCACCTCTTGTAATTGCAGATGTCAAACGTGACTTGTATCCATCCTTTGTCGTCAGTATATAGAGTATTACAATTTTAATATAGCTTTTTTCCTTTCTTAAAATCTGTATACAATTTTTTGGCACCCTCTGGATAATCAACGTAGACATATAGGCCCCATGACTGATCTCTGATTTTAGTTCACTTATATCTCACAATTCTCAGTTTGCCAGTGAAAACTTATTTTGCAGTGGATACAAAGACAGCTAAGCTTCTTCACCCGGGTGCCATCCTTTCCTTCTCCCCTCTTCCACAACATCCACTTGGCTGTTCTCTGTGCTTGCATCCTGTTCTGTGATGGAAATGGCATTGTCTCCCTCTGGGGGTTGAAAGCTGGCACTATCTTCTGTAATTCTGAAGCAAATATCAAAGGGATGTGTGTGTCCACCTGCTTTTTGGTCAGAATGATTTTCCGCATTGAATAATACAACCCAGTTAGAGAAAAAAATAAATGAAACACTTGTTGTTTGAAGAAATTAATGAACTAGAATGTTTTATTTGGTGAAGTTTTGTTTCTTGTTCCCTTTCAGACATTTCAACCACAGGCTGAGAAAACTAAGCATGGCTGTGTGGAAGAACGAAGGGTAAACAGAATTAGTCTTCTCAAATAACTCTATTTCGACTGTGTAAAGAAAAGAGTCAATAAGAGAAAATTTTCAGTGTCAACATAGTCTTGGGTACTCGGAAAGGAGGTTCAAAAGTATACCACATAATTTTGGCACCCTCTAGCTAGTCAGGTATTATAATTCACACAATGTATTATAGCGTTTCTCTTCAATGTGCTGTTTTTCTTCAAATGAAACAATAGTTTGCCAGAGGACAAACCATATTCAGAAGGATAGGGGAGTAAGAATTATGGGACATTGTTACTGGCAAACAATATTTTCCCACACATGCACATGGCAAACATGTTGCTTCCAGATTGGGAAACAAGGAAGAAAAAGAGAAAGGAGCTGACAGGTTTTCATGGGCAATTCTGTTTATGTGGAATTTGTTTTCTATATGCATCCAGAGAGTTAAACAAATCCTTTCAGCTTGGCACACTTCCGACTTGCAGCTTTCTTCTGCCTATCACAATTTTTTCCTGACAGTGCCAGAAAATTCTAAGAAGTAACAATCTTCTATTCTTTATCTTAGCTGAAAAATACAAAGGTCCAAACTGCCAGCTTGAGTCTGAATGTTTATTCATGGTATGAGTTTTGCCAAGTGGACATCAGACACAAATATTCTAAAACCTGCCTTTCTCCTAGTGCCTCCCACCTGGAAATATTTCCACATGCTCCATTGCCATTGAAATTTGGTAATAAAATTGATACACTCTGGGAGGGAAAGCAGTTAGCTGACAGTCACAGGGAGAACAGATTTAGAAAAGAGAGAAGAAACCAGTTGCTATCCTCAGGAGTTGGTTTACAACCACACACCCTCCAGTGGTACCAAAAAGTACTACCGTTCATCAGAGGCAGAATTTAATTTCACCCAAGTTAAAAAATCTCTTGTGCTATCAAAAAGGGAGCCAGGAGACTTCTTAGTTTGAGATAAGCCCACCTTAATATGATGTTGTATTTTTGTAGATAACGTACAAGGGCCACCATAAGAAACATGAGTATTATATTTTTAAGTATGCTTACACATCACCTGGGAAGAAAAATCAGACAGACGTAAAGGTAAGCTGAATCTTGGAGGGACAATTCATAGCACAGGCCAAACTCTGAACTAGCCCTAGAAAAAACTGTAGGGGAGGGAAGTTTACTTTGCCCTGTTCTGGTGTTTCTGGCTATGGCTGGCACCCTAGTCCTTTCCCTCACTCTTCTGAGCCTCTCAAGCCTCTCACTACAGAGTTCTGTGTTCCAGAATCTTCCTGATCCCCATCCCATGGCCTGGCCCATCTTGCTCTGCTTCAGCACCTGCAGCTGTAGGTGTGGGTACTGGTGGAATCCCAGATGCCCAAGGACAGCTGTGTTACTACTTGAGTCACATTCAGTCTTTTATAAGGAGGTTTTCTTGAACATTCCACCATATGCTCTGATGGTGAGGATTTCACCAGAGGAAGACTAATTGGAGGGATCATTTTGGCCAAAAGAGGGACACATTTTAGTGTCTCTCAAATTCCTCCCATGTATGACTCCATCGTGTTGGGATGCTAAGATGAGAAAGAAAGAGGCCTTTGTCACTGGGATGACAATAAGTCTTTTCACTCAGTTCCTTCTTGCAGAGTCATTGGCCAAAGGGCTGGAAACAGCTTAAAATGTCATCAGCAAAAGGACTATTTACTTTTTCCAAATCTGGCTTCATTTCCCATGGAAGTAGTATTTTCCTTCAGAATGTGCTTTTTCTTTTCTGTTTAATATCCTTTAGATGGCATTTCTAGAGCTACATCTTACTGCCTGTGTAAATAAGTTAAGACTTACTTGACAAATATGTGGTGAGTTATTTCCATTGCATAAGATACAAGATGTTTGAAAAGATTTCATTCCTTCTCTCCAGAATCTTAGAGTTAGAAAAGGCACTTACAAAAACCATTGTAATCTAGGACAATGTGGAAAGTGCTATGTGAATGGTATACTTTTAAAAAATCATGCTTGAGGGGCTTGGAGTGGAAAGAAATGAGTTCCTGGCCTGGTGTTCAGGGAAAGCTACAAAATGGAAATAACTGAGCTGTGTCTTGGAGGATAGATAAGACTTGAACAAACAGAAGTGAGTGGGAGAGGCCATTCTCCATGAAAAGTAGAGTGTGAGCCAAGGCCTAGAGACAGACAAGGAGAGAATGGAAAAGCAGACCAGCCAACAGGTGCATAGCATAGAGACAAAAATCATTTCACATAAGCAAGAGTAAAAAAGCAAAGTTTTTTTCTATTTTTAAGTATTGTCCTTGATACAAAAATGCTAACTATCACAGCCTACAGTTTTCATTTCTAAAATATCTCCTTTCATTCTTCTGATGAAACACAGACAATAACCTATTAAAGGATATCCTTTAATACAATCGTGTCATTCTCCCAACAATCCTGACAAGTAAGTAATATGAGCTGAGGCTCAGAGAAGTTAAATAAGACTCCCAGGGTCACACAGCCCACAATGGCAGAGTTGGGCAACTGATGCTAACACATGTGCTCTTTCCAAAGCACAAGTACTTTCAGTGAGCACTGGGTTGCAGGATTACAAAAAACCATTTGGCAACTCTGGCCCATTTCATTCAACGCCATTCCCTGTGATCCTGGCTCTCCTGAAATCAGTGTTCTATCTTCTTTGCTATTTTTCCAACATATTTGCCGCAATACTATGAGCTTCCAGCTGACTGCTCTCTTCTTCTCCATCAGGAGCTCTTGTATATTTTAATATCCTTAATTAATACATCTAAGATGTCCAAGTGTGATCTCCCAACAAGGACTAACAGATTGACGTGGTGGTCAAAAACTACAGGACAAAATTAAGCTGTATTAGTAAAAACAGGGCTGTGGCCAGGGCAAGAAAGCTGATGGATGCTCTGTGTTCTGGGCTAATTAATCCACATCAGAGTGTGGGACTGATTTGCGACCCCACAGAATAAAGGGGACCTGTTCTAAGGAGAATGGGTCAGAACACAGTGACTTAACACAAAGAACTGCAAACCTCAACCCGGAGGAGAGAAAGCATCCAGTGAATTTGAAGGAAACTTTTTCAATTATTGGAAGGGGTTTTATATGAAAAAGGAAATAGCCTTAATAGTTGTTCCATCCGGGAAAATGGGTATCAGTTTCAAGTTAAAAAAGAAATTATTGAAAAAAATGACAACTATCCATAAGTGAAAAGATATTATCTGAAAAGAAATAAACAATTAATTCACAATGTATTCAAAGAAAAAATAGTTGATCGTAGGTTATTGTACCTGGGAAGGACCTGTCCTGGGTGGCCCCTGAGAATTCAACAGCCAGCTTTCTGACTCTCAATGGACACTGCTCTTTGAGCTCAGGTTCTATATTCCCTCAGCATCAATATATATATAATATGAAAGTCATCTTTTTTCATCCTGTCTTCATTTTTCTTTTCTTTTCTTTCTTTTTTTTCTTTTTTTTTTTGAGTCAGTCTCACTTTGTTGCTCACAGCCACTGCAGCCATGACTTCCGGGGCTCAGGCAATCCTTCTGCTTCAGCCTTCCAAGTAGCTGGAACTACAGGCATGTGTCACCACACCTGGCTACATTTTTAGTTTATTGTGGAGAGAAGATCTTGCCAAGTTGCCCAGGCTGATTTCGAATCCCTGGGCTCAGGCAATCTTCTCTCCTCTGTCTCCCAAAGTGCTGGGATTACAGGCTTGAGCCACAGTACCCAGCCCTGTCTTCATTTTTACCTATCAATTTCAGCTTATTTCACTGATTAATATTTCTATTAGGGCACTAATAGAAGATGTTTACTTCACAATATTTTTCTTTGACATAATCCATATCCAGGTGGTGATATCTCATTACTGGATCCTGTAAAATCCTCCAAACTATTCTTTCTTACCATTGTTCTTTCTGAACCCCTGATTTTTATTTTGTTAATCTCTTATGAGCTTTCTTTATCTCTTCATATGCTATAGGATAAAACCAAATTCCCTACCCTGGCATCTCAGATCTTAAGACTCTCCAGCCCTCTGTCTATGCAGACCCCAACTGGATATAAGGTCACTGCCTCATGGCTTTGCCCCAACTCTCCATATTCCTGACAGACTAGTGCCTTTGCCAATGAATAAGCTGCCATGCTTAGAACACGGAGCATCCAGTCCAATTTCTTACATGTCCTGGTCCCTCAACAAATGCCTCTTATGTTGATTTCCTATTTCTCACCAATTTCAAGGCCTGTACAGTGACGTTGTAAATTCCAGCTCATCCTGCAATAGAGTGAAAAGAAAGCATGTCATATATTCTGTATGCAACGGTTCTGTTACTCAAGACTCCTACCCATGGGTTAACAGAGGGTCAAGGAAGGGTACAGAAATTAAATTCAACCTGTGTAAATGTAAAGTTATCTGATCATTTAAATAACTCTTTACGTAAATCCTTCAGTCTCTCATAGATTAAAATACTCAGCTCCTTACTACCCCTCTATCTCCCTCCAAGATGACATTTATGTATGGCTTATACCAACCCACTACAAACCATATATCAAATGTACAACCATGACATACTTAGAATCCTCAGACTGCATGGAACAAGGTTGCTGGACCACTTCTGAGCTGCTTGTCCTGCTGCATCCTGAGATGAAGTTTTGGCTACTGCAGCTGAGAATTCAGTCAGTGTGGTCTCAATGGGGGCTCAATGGCAATCAGGCTTTCTCAACTCTCATAGGCAATGTAGACCCTGCTTTGTTTGAATATGACTCACATTTGTCCCTTTCAGAGCCACCTCAAATGGTGACACTTTCTGGAAAGCTCCAGACCAAAATGCACAGACACTTCTACATCTATCCTATGATAGGACAAAGTGAGCCTCATCTCTTCCTGGCCACATTGTCCTGCCAAGCTTACTGACACTGGCCTGCATCCCAGGGTGATCAAGCCCAGGGACCATCTAAGCCCAGTAACCAGGCTATGAAGCAGCCGCCTCACAGATACCCCTTGCTCTCCAAAAAGGACACATTGAAATACAGCCACACTTTACTCTCTTCTCTACTTTTTCCTTTTTATCACATTATTTTCCTAAGGACTTTTCTTTTCTGGGCCTCTGTTGTTTAAACTTGTGATCTAGAATAGGGGTTCTCAAAACATAGTCTCCAGACCAGAGGCATCAGCATCACCTGGGAGCTTATTCTCAATGCAAATTCAAGAGCACCATCCCAGACCTCCTGAATAAAAAATCTGGACATGGGGCCCAACATCCTTTATTTTAAGCCTTCCAAATAATTCTGGTAAATGCTCCGTCTGAGAATTACTGGTCTAGACTATCAAATTTATCTTATTATAAAGACAAAGGGGAAAGAAGAAATTAATAAATCCTTCTTCAGAAGATAGCTAGAATTGCAAAACTTGTTGTAAAATCTTTTGTTTAATTGTCAGAAGCTAAGTTTTATCTAGATTCTTCTATTGTAGATTTTCCATTTTAAAAAAGAGAAAAAAGAAGAAGCTGATGAATACCTCTGATTATCAGAACAAAGGAGATAGAGAAAGAGAGAGAATAAGTAATTAAAAATATGAAATCACTATTCCCAAGATAAGGACCATACACTTTAATTGTGTTCTCCTTAAGTTTAGGTCTTCCTCCAAAATCAGGCTCTCATCTACATTTCCCATTTTATTTCTTATTCTTTTCCTTATGATTTCTTTACTCCAGCCTTATAGGTTTATTCATGTTATTTTTCCATTATATCCTGTTTCCAGACAATTGAATATTCAACTGATTTTTGAAATAGTCTACACCTTCCCTTCCGTGTATCTGAAATTTATCCATCTTTCAAGCTTAGCTAATTCTTTCTCCATGAAACCTGCTTTGGCTAACCTGGAATGATCTCTACCAATAAGCCTCTATTTTAATGGACTTTTTATTAACTATCTGGTAATTTTTAAACTATTGCCTAATAATTATTAGATTGTTGATTTAACATAAAATAATCATTTCATATTGAAAATTATACTTTATCAGGAAGAAAAAAACAAAGACAATATTGCCCTTCACCATTTTGACAAGAGAAGGAATCAAGGGCCACTACCTAGAGAAAATATTGTCTGGGAGAGACAGAAAGATCTGTCCCTTTCTGAAGCCAATGAAAATAACCAAAGTAGTAAATTCCAAAATCTGTTTGCGAATAGACAGACACTGAATGAAGACCATAGTATCAGTCAAAAAGAGGATGTCAACAATGACCTCAAAATATCCATTGATTCCAAGTCAATTATGAATAAATGGACTGAGAATGGAGATGATGCAATCAGCACACTTCATGACCAAGAAGAATATGGTGCAGCTCTTGTCAGAAATAATATGCAGCATCTCATGGGGCCAGTGACTGTGATTCAACCTTTGATGGAAGAAAACAAAGAGAACAAACCTAGGAATGTTCTAAGCAAAGTCTCAGCAGGTAAGCACTATGCTAAAGGCCACTCAAAAGATAAAAAGAATTCTCAAAGAGATTCCCGAACTCAGAATAGTCCAGTAAAAAGCAAAAGCACCCCCCGTATTCAATACAACACTGACTACCTAAAACATCTCTCAAAGGTCAAAAAAATCCCCAGTGATTTTGAAGGCAGTGGTTACACAGATCTTCAAGAGAGAGGGGATAATGACATCTTCCCTTTCAGTGGGGATGGCCAACCTTTTAAGGACATTCCTAGCAAAGGAGGAGCTATTGGTCCTGACCTAGAAGGTACAGATATTCAGACAGGGTTTTCAGGCCCAGGTGAAGCTGAGACCACTGATCCTGACACAACAGGGCCAGGTTACAATGAGATCCCAGAGAGAGAAAAAAATGGCAGAGATACCATTGGAACCAGGGATGAAACAGCAAAAGAGAATGGGGTTGTTGATGTTAGCCTTGTGGAGGGCAGCAATGACATCACGGGTAGCACCCCTTTTAAGGAACTGCCGGGGAAAGAAGGGAACAGAGTGGATGCCAGCAGCCAGAATGCTCATCAAGGGAAAGTAGAGTTTCATTTCCCTTCTGCACCCTCAAAAGAGAAAAGAAAAGAAGGCAGTAGGGATGCAACCGAGAGTACCAATTACAACGAAGTCCCTAAACATGGCCAAGGCAGCACTAGAAAGGGTACGGCACATTCCAGTAGGAACCAAGCAACCTGGAATGAAAAACAGAGATTTCCTAGTAAGGACAAAAGTCAGAGTCTGCTCGTTCCTTCTCATGGAATTGATAATGAAATTAAAAATGAAATAGGTTCACATAATGGCCCCAACAGTGAAGAGAGCATAATCACACAGAGCAGAAAATATCATTATGGGCCCCATAGACAAAATAAGTCTACACGGAACAAGGGTATGCCACAAAGGAAAGGCTTCCAGGGTTACAGAAAACCCCATCCCAACAGGAGGCTCAGCCCCGCTGGAAAGGATGACAGCAGCGAGTCATCTGACAGTAGCAGTTCAAGTGAAAGCAATGGCGACTAGTCTGTGAGGAATTCCCAGCTGGGTGATGGTTTGAAGACATGGTGAGTTTACATAGAGAAAAGCCACCTGACAGCAGACCAGACGAAGAGAGGACAGTGTGGGTGATCAAATGAGCCCAAAAGCTTGGATTCCTCGGGAGAACTTTTGCTATTTTAATGGTCATAGTAGGCAATTCTATTCAGAGTTATAATGCTTTTTAAAGTAAACAAACAAACAAAAACTCATTAAGGATTTACAAAATAAGTAATATGTGATACGTGTCTTTTTAAAATAGTTTGTGAATGTCACACAAATGCCTGCCTATGTTGTTTGCTCTGTAGACATGAAAATAAACAATATCTCTCCATGACAATTTGTAATTAAATGATCTATAAGAACTTCTATTGTCTGGTGCTTCATTGCAGGGGTAACAAGGTTAGTCCCGCCTCTGGCCAAGGCTTGAAGGTGTTCCCTGTTCCCAGTTCTGTCACTTTTCCTTTCTCCTCTGAACTCCCTCTGCTCTAATGAAGACATCCTAATTCATATTCTTCTCTGCTTCATTCTGTTGCACATTTTTGAGGGGACCCTCCCCCAAAAACCTGAATTATCCTGGGAGGGTGGACCCCTTATAGTATAAGCTTACCCCACTAGATGAGTTCCAGGAACTCATCGGCATCAGTGTACCAGTTAGCGTTGTTGTGAGAAGCTGCTTTGTGGCAAACGGGTGACTGCTTCTTCCACAACACACCTGCCCACACCACACTGAGTGTTCAGCAGTTTTTGACCCAAAACAACATGACTCCTGTGCCCCACTCTCCCTATGGCCATGATCTTGCCTCAAGTGACTTTGTTTCCCGGATAAAAAAAAAAGTTCTCAAAGTGAAATGTTTTTGCCAATGTGAAAGAGATGAAACAAAAAAGCAGCAGAAGCATTCAAAGGTATTAAAATTGATGAGTTCAAAAACCGTTTTGAGCAGTAAAAAAAGTATCTTAGGTGTATCAAATCAAACGGGGAGTATGTTGAAGGAGAAGGTAAATGAAGCTTGAACATGTAAGAATAAATACATAATTTTTAATGACTAAATTCAAAGGGTTTTTTTTTATACCCCCTCATATAACTTCCTATAAGCCAACTATTATTTCCTGAAACAAATTACCACATTTCCATTTTCTCAATTCTACCTCCTTTCAGATAAAAGGACAATATGGCGGAGGGAGGGCAATGGGGATAATTTGAGGAGAAACACAAAGACAAAGCCAAGACAAACAGTTTGGCAGACTTTTTTCATTGGCTGATTTCAAACCTTTTCCAGTCTGTTTCTTTCTCTCATCTTTTGATATAGATGTTTTCCAGCTAATGATGGCCTTATAACCCTGTTCTGGAAACTAGACCTTAGTCTCCTGGGAAGGGAGGGGCAGAGCTCTGGAAAGCTTTTGTTGCTCCTGATAAGAAAAACTTACAAAGCTGATGTACCACCCTTCCTCCTTCCTTGCCCTCCTCTTGGCTTGACGTGATGCCTGGAGGTGTGTCAGTCATTTTGTGGCCATGAAGAAGAGAACAAAATAATCATAGAGGTGCCACTAAGCCAGCTCCATCAGCTTCCTGCTTCCAGAGTCTTCGTTCTGTGAAAATATAATTCTCATTTGTTATGCCACTATTTGGGGTTTTTTTGGGGAGGGGGTGGTATTGGTGGCTGAACTGAATTCTTTCTCAATACACATCTCCATTTCTGACATTTTTCTACATGGAGAGAGCCAAGAGAAGAAGAAAGAAAGAGGTAGAGAGTAAAGAAAGAAAAGTGCGTATCATTTCTCTTGTCTCTTTAGGATGTAAGTGCCCAAGCAGCAGAAATCATGCCTGGCACATTCTACACAGCACCTAGAGTATTGAATTGAATAATGTATGTAGCAGAAACTAAAGAAAGTCAGTGTCAATCCAACATTATGGCACCTTCAAAAAATCTAAGCTCCCATATTGGGGAGATAGGAGCTACTTTTTTACTAAATAATGTGACAATATAAGGCCAGGCTCGTGCTTATAAGCCCAGCACTTGAGAGGTTGAGCCAGGAGGGTCATTTGAGTCCAAGAGTACAAGATCAGCCTAGGCAACATAGTGAGACCAGTCTCTTCACATGCACATAAATAATAATCACTAACGTGATTTGTGTAATTAACCTGTGCCATGCTATGGGAAATCCCTGGGTACCATCACTATCTTCCATAATATGGGTACCATCCATAATATGGGTATCACCATTATCCTTTTTACAGGTGAGGAAATTGAGAGCTAGAACTCTAAGTGTCCAGTTAGTAAGGCAGGATTTATACTCAGAGAGTCTGGCTCCAGAGTCTTTGCTCTTAAACATTCACTGTACCACCATATATTATTTCAAAGCTAGGTGTACACAACACACAATAAGCATTATATATAGGAATGTATGTATATAGACATATATGTATACATATATACACAGAATATGTGTATATTCATGCACATACATGAATAGATGAATATATGTGTACGCATATAGGTATGCATGTACACACACACACAGAGAGAGAGAGAAACTTGAAAGAAATGCTAAGTAGAACCTAAAAACAAGAAATATCTCCCCCCCTCGTTTGTTTTCCATCTTCTAGATATAGCAGAGATCAGTTTCAGTGGAAAGACTTAACATATCACCCAATATCATCAGAATTTCTGAATAAATGATTTCTAGTACTTTGTGTTTTTTTTTTAAATAAAAGACAATTTGGGCAAAAAAAACCCTGGAGACAATTAATGAAGAGAAAAAAAACTATATCAGAATTTAAATTGCATATTAATGAATTGAAATCAACCTGCTACTTATACTTCAGGTTATATAGAATTTTTACATGTGAATGGTCTGATCATGTGAAAAACACATAGTGTGGTAAAGGAAAAATATGAGTTGATGGAGAAAATGAATGATTTCTTGCTGTAAATACAGGGGATACTTTTGTACCGTCATCTGCCCTAGTCTGCTATCTAGTGAAGAAGATTATACAAGTCAGTTCTCTAGTTAGATTTTGCTTCCTTTCTCCAAGCTTGAGTGTTCTCAGATATTTCTTCAAAACATTGACAATGTTCATATTTTCTCCATCCATTTAAGGGAAACTAGAAACATCTCAGCATCCATGATGCATTGTTATTGGATGCAGCCATGGAAGAGTGAGCCCAAACACAAAGGATCAGAGACCCACAAGGACAGCCTATAGTCAGGAGGCCAAACCCATGTTTCAGTCATCAAGTTGCATTCCCCTCACTTTTTTTTTTCTTACATAAACATAGATTTCCAAAATAAGGCAGAAAATTTCAGCCTCATATAGCTGCCTTATAAAGGTTGATGGAAATCGACCAAGTCTGCCACCTTGTGCCCAAAAAGAAAAGGTCGCTGTACCAGTCCTGGGAGCAGGTTCCCGGCTCTGCACGCCTGCTGCTCCCTCCAGCCTCACCTTTCCCGATTTCTCATCTAGTAAATATCTACCTTAATTTTGCAAGGACTTATTAATCTGTTCTTGGCAATTCCCTGCCAGACAGGACAAGATATCTGATCCCTTTTGGCATAACTTTCAGCTCAGATGAAAAATACTTACTGAATGATTGTATTTTACAAATTTCTACTGGAATCAAAAGAAAAAGAGAAGCAATGCTTCTGGCCCTTATCAAGGTCTTAAATGAGTAAGGAAATGGCATACAAAAGAAACAAGGTAGAACGCATGAAGTTCAATAATAGAAAAATAGTTTGGTGATTGTACAGCCATAGTGTGCCATAGGTCACGTTCACACTGGTCATCCTAACAGGATGTAATTGTAACTGCTCAAAGTTGTATCTCTCTGTAAAAGACAGAACGGAAAGTGTGACAAGGAAGCAAAGAAGGAACAGAAGAAGCAAATGTTGAAAGGGCAAAGGAGCAAAAGTCACAATGTGCTGAGTTGAGGCTTAGTTTGCTGCCTTGGAGCACACAAAGACCGAGTTCTAGAAGATCATTCGCTATTAATGGAATCTTTAACTAGCAGAATTTTCAAGCAATGATCCATGAAGCTGCAGTGCTCTACAAAATCTGCCTGGATCCTTGTTCGGTGCTGGACTCTCTCTTCCACAGAGATCCAGACTGATGGAAGGAATAAGCCCCTGCGAGGGAAGGGGCTCTCAGTTGGGCCATCATGCTTTATTACAAGGTACAGGCTATAAGGAGATGGGGGGATCGATGGAGAAAGAGAATATAAGTGCTAAAGCCCCTCAGCCTCTGAGCCCACCTGTAGCCAACAGAAATGAGTTCTCCAACGTGGTCTTTCACAAATTACTGAGTAAATGCGGAGGCTTCATTATTTCAGCTTATTTTTACTTAGTCATCTATCACTTACTAAAGGCATGTGAAAGTAAGCCTTGAATTGATTCATCTATTTCTTTCTTAAACAATGTTGACAGTTTTTCTGATTATAAAATATAAGAAAACTTCTGTATAATAGATTACAAAAATTAAAAATATAAAGGCAAAAATGTCAGTTTCATCAATTTTTTCCTTCCAGCTCTTTTCCTAAGTATATATTCATATACTTAAAAAAAAAAAAAACTGGTATCAGTTTTATAAAGTTTAAGAAAACTTTATATTCATTTGGCATTCTGTCCTGTTATCTTAATGTGCCATTTTGCCACACTAATATTTTGAAATTTTATTACATAAATCTACCACAATTTGTTCAGTCTATTTTTGAAGGGTATTTAACATTTTTTGTACTTTTTCTATTATAAACTCTTGTGCTGTTTTGCATTAAATCTTAATACCACTGGTATTTCATATTATCCATAATATTAGCTAGTTTTTTCAGTTTTGCTGAGGTATGAGTGACATATAAATGTTGTATATGACGGCTACAGATTCTCTTTAAATGCCGCATAGACTTTTGCTACTTGGATTTATTGTCAGTTTTTTAGCCAAACCCCATTTTAAATAGTTGTTAACTTCTATTAAAACCAGCATTACAATAAGCATC